CCCTGGGTAGAGTGCCATGGCATCACACTCACAGCAACCTCCAACTCCTGGGCTCAAGCAAGTCTCCTGCCTCAGCCTCCCAAGCAGCTGGGACCACAGGCGCCCCCCACAATACCCGGCCATTTTTTGGTTGCAGCCATCGTTGTTGTTTGGCGGACCCAGGCTGGGGATTCGAACCCGCCACCTCAGATGTACGTGGCTGGCGCCTTAGAGGAACTGTGTTAAAGGGCTGTGACATTAGGAAGGTTGAGAACCACTGCTCTAGGGTTATGCCCTCTAACTTTCCGTGGGAGCCTGAAAACTGAGGTGGGCACTGTCTTTTCCTCTGTGACTTTAGGGCTGTGTAGACCAGGCACCAGCACAGCACAGCCCTCAGGACAAATTCAGCTCCCCACCTTTTTTTGTCAATAAAGTTTTATTGGAACACAGCCACAGCCTTTGGTTTTGGAGCTGCTTCTGCCCGACCACTTCACAGCTGAGTGTCTGCAGTAGACACCAGGGTGTGGCCTGGGAAGCTGAAAATATTCACTGTCTGTGCCTCTACAGAAACATTTTTCTGACCAACAGCATAGATCATTTCTTCCCCACATTTTTCAACCTCCTGCAGCTACTCAGACATCTCCAAATTGATGTGTGTTCACCCGTGTTTGTTCCCTCACCTCTGCCCACTTCTGCTTTGCCACCTCCCTGTTTGGCTGGGCCCAAGCTGTCCCCTCTCCCCTCTGCCTTCAGTTCTCCCTTCCTGCATGCCCTCTGTCTTCCCGCCTGCTTTATGCATCTCTTACCTGGTGGTTCTTACTGTGGTAACACAGAGCTCTCTGTCACGTTTGTGCTGTGGTGAGTAGGGACTCCCAGGCCCTTCAGTAGAAATCCTTGTCCTTTTCCCTGACCAGAACCTCTGGGATGATTGTTACCTATAAGCATGAGGATAACTTGCCCCTGAGATGTGCAGCTGATACATTTTGACTTAACTCCAGGAGAGGGACTGGGTCTTATTCATGTTCCTGGTCCAACCAAGTGGTAAATACTCAAATCCTAAGTAGTTAATGGGGCCTTGGTGTACTTGAACTCTGGCTTCCCCTTGATGGGGACCCACCATCGAGAGTGTTTTCCCTTTCTTACCTCTTCCCCGCAGGGATCTTTAAAGGCCCCCAAGGGGGATGCTTGGGAGAGCCTCCAGTTTATGAGGCAGAAACATAACAGATCTGCCCTGCTCCCTGCTGTTCCAGACACAAGAAATGAGTCACATTTCCTCTGGGCAGAGTCAGAAGCAGATTTATGCATTTCCCCTTTGGTTCTCATCCTCTTATCTGGGTTTCCAGATGTATTTTAGCCCAAGCCTTGCCTCTGAGGAGCCTGACGTGGTTTTCCTCCCTCAGGTGTGAGAGGGGCCTGGACCACGCCATCCCCCACTATGTCACCTCATACTTGCCGCTGCTGCTCGTGCTTGTGGCCAATCCCATCCTGTTCCAAAAGACGGTGACTGCAGGTAAATGGCAGGGCTGTTCTCTGGGTGCAGGGCCACTGGGTACAGCCCCTTGCCTTGGGCTCACATATTGACAAATGTTGGCCTTCTGGAATTATCCATGATGGCTGACATCATTCGACATCCTCCAGAGATGCAGAATAGAGCTGGGCAGAGTGGGCAGGTTTAATAAATGAACATGAGCAAGCCTTGCCAACATCCGTTTGCTCAAGGCCAAGACGTGTTGACGTTTCAGTTCTGTGCCAGGCTCATCCTGTCTGCTGGGGACAGTCCTTGCATGACTGTGAAGGTGCCGTAGGAGCAGAAGGAGAGGCAGGGGAAGGGGGGTGGTCTGAGCAGGGTAAAGTCCTGGGGTGCACTTGGCCTGCACCTTCTCTCAAGACAGGCAGGGGCAGGACGCAGAGCACAGGTAGTGAGTCAAGGCTGTAGTTAGAGCTGGATAAGATGCTGGGGAGAGACCTCTGACCTCTTGGCTGGCTGGGGACCTGCTGTCCAACCCCGACCACTGCCTAAAGAAGTGTGACCTGGAGTGAGCCTTCAGCCTGTGTGGGCTGCCAAGGCCTTTTGAGGGTGAGACATTGTGGATTGTAGAACTTTTTTTTTTTTTTAGAGACAGAGTCTTACTTTGTTGCCCTCGGTAGAGTGCTGTGGCATCACAGCTCTTGGGCTTAGGCGATTCTCTTGCCTCAGCCTCCCGAGTAGCTGGGACTACAGGAGCCCGCCACAACGTCTGGCTATTATTTTGTTGCAGTTTGGCCAGGCTGGGTTTGAACCTGCCACCCTACTCACTGAGCCATAGGCACCGCCTGGATTGTAGAACTTTTTAAAAATATGGTTTAAAGTACTCTATGAGGCCAAACGCAGTGACTTGTACCTGTAATCCTAATACTCCGGGAGGCCAAGGCAGGCGGACTGCTTGAGCTCAGGAGTTCAAGGCCAGCTTGACCCAGAGTGAGACACCATCTCTACTAAAAATAGAAAAACAAGCCAGGTGTTATGGCAGGCACTTATAGTCCCAGCTACTCAGGAGGCTGAGACAGGAGGATCTTGTGAGCCCAAGAGCTTCAGGTTGCTGTGACCTATGAGAGCCATGGCTATCTACCCAGGGGGACAGAGTGAGATTGTGTCTTAAAAATATATTCTATCACTAATAATGGGAAATTATTGCAGCTCTTTGAATGAGTCTTTCGTATCTACATTTAAAGATAGTATATTGAGTATAGTACAACATTTATAAAATTGCATAGAAAGCAATGATTCAAGTATATGAAATACATTAAAATCATTTATAGGAAGAGGACTGAGGCTGGGTGTATGACTCATGCTTACAGTCCCAGCACTCTGGGAGGACCAGGTAGGAGGATGGCTGAGGCCAGGAGTTTGACACCAGCCTGGGCAACATAACAAGAACTCATTGCTACAAAAAATAGAAAAATCAGCCAGCCATGGCAGTGGGAGCCTGTAGTTCCAGTTACTCAAGATGCTGAAGCTGGTGGATTGCTCAAGCCCCGGAGTTTGAGGTCTCTGTGACTATGAAGTCACAGCCCTCCAGCTCTGGCAACAGAGTGAGACCCTGATACATACACTTCCTAACCTGGGAAAATCCAGATAAGATCTTGGTAATGTACCATTAATTTCTGAGCTGTAACAAGGGCCCCATAGCTGTGTACAGTGTTCACATTGGGACAGGCTGGGTAAAGGGAATATTTATATGGGAACTTCCTGTTCCATCTTTGCAACTTTTACATGAATCTACAATTATTTCAAAGTAAATGTTTTAAAAATATACATTCCTTAAGAGGTGGTGGGACTGCAGTCTGGAAGCTGTGAGGAGTGGGTGTCAGTGACTCCCTTTTCCGCAGGCCTCTGGCTGTGCACCCAGCTCCCTTGTGCTCTGCTCTGCTTAGCTGGCCTTCTCTGCAGCTCGGTAGATAAGAACCCTGAACAGGAAATGGTCCTCTCTGTTTTTCGCAGTGGCCTCTTTGCTGAAAGGAAGACAAGGCATTTACACGGAGAATGAGAGAAAGATGGGAGCTGTGATCAAGATCCGATTTTTCAAAATAATGCTGGTTTTAATGATCTGGTAACCTTTCACCTGTTTTTTTTTTTTTTTTAAATTGCTGGAGGGGAGGGATGTGCAAACAACTTGCTTTTTGCCTTTCCAGGTTGCACAGGAAAGCTGTGAGACCCAGCTAGGCCCCTTTGAGGAAATGCATGAATGGCAGGGTAGCAAGTCCAAAATTTAGGAATTTCTGCAAAAATATTCAAATCTCAAATACAAAGCCCCCAAGAATCTCTATATACAAAGCCCCTAGAACATGAACATCTGGGTTTAGTGTTGAAATGACCCAACTGTGGGCATTTGGCATCTCAAGTCATTGCTGGGGTTAACCAAAATAAAGACCTGTGTCATGTTTTTAAAGTTCACTTGTTGGCCCCCCTCTTGGTCTCCAGTGTGATGACTCAAGGCTTAGTTCAGGCCCAGCAGTTTTTCTCTCAGCAGTGTCCCCCACCACTTGTATCCTGCCCAAATGCTTCAGGTGGAACCTGTGAAAACTGACCTGTAACCAATGCAAAAAAAGATTGGAATCAGAGCATGCTGTGCTGTGGTAAATCAATACTTAGCAGGACAGGGCAAGCCCAGTGGTGTTAATAATTCACCTGATATGTGGAGGTCTATTTGGACACCCTCCCTGGAGAGGCATGAATTATCTCCTGCTAAAAATACACCCAGCTCACCATTTCAAATTTCACTAACCCACCTAGAATAACACTAAAAAATTCCAACATAAAATGTCAAGGTTGGTTTGGGTCTCCATCAAAATGTTAGCTTTCTTCTCAAACAAAGAATGAATTCTGGGTTACACAATACAGTGTCAGAACCTTACACCCTGAAGTGGTGTTGAGTGTTACCACTGGAAGGATTTGCTGGTCTCTGCTTTAGAATGAGAGAAAGA